TTATTTGTCGAACCAAAGTATCCCATTCACTGGTATTTAGCCTAAACGGGTCCTGTTTCAGCACAGGAGGAGGTGGCGAGCTAAATGAAATGTCCCGCAGTGAATTTCACGCCCCGTTGGGACGACAGAGGCACCACAGATGGGAGTTTGGGTCCCACTGAGGAGGGCTTTTTGTCCTGCGTCTGTCAGCCTTTGTTTGCAGGCACAGGCAGCTTTTACAGCAGAAGAAGAGGAATGTGATCGTATTATTCAAACACCATCAAAAGCTGACTGGTGTAAGCTGCTGCTGCTGGTGCTGCTGCCTGTGAGACTGCCATGCGTTCATTTGGCTGAGGAGAAAAGTATGTGTGCAGCTGCTGTGCTTCCTCCTGGCTTCAAAAGGAGCGACTGCAGTGTTACTAATGGAAGCCTCTTACAGGAACGTTATCAAAAAATACGCTTTTACGTGCCAAAAGGGTTGTCAGTGTAGGGATGGAGGGATTTCCCAGGTCACAATCAGACAAATCCAAAGTGTGGAGAATGTTATTGTACAAAATAAACACAATAACCGCTTTGTTGTGATTCCATATTCCGAAGAACAAAGATATTGAAAAGAGAAATGTTAATTGCTTTGTTAAGAATCTACAGCGTGCCTCAGAGAGCAGCAGTGAAGGAGATGTGTATTATCAACCGTGTGCAGGTGGAGTTTGAATATTATCCCAATTAGAGCTGCCCCACAAATCAAACACACAGGAAGCTGCAGATGGAAGATTTGTCATCACATCTATGTGATTCCCTGGGAACATCTATTCACAGAGCTCCTCCTTCATGTCTGCCTCGGGTTTGAAATCAGCCTCACCTGTCATGCATAAGTCATATTTGCATTTAAGACGCAGCATGTTTCCCCCTCATTTCAACCAAATGCATCCTCACTTGGATGTCTCTCCAGCCCTATATTGTGTAATGCTGTCTAATGTAGCCATGTGGATTATAGCTGCTAATCCATGAAGAGAGGAGCAGTCCAGCTTCATTAGGTGGAATGGATAGGGTGTTTGCTCCCCCCCCCCCCCCCCCATATCTACATAACACAAGGACAATTCCATAGGCTAAAGTGTCTCAGAGGTAATGAACCAATTAGACTCCCTGAAAGTGCAGCTTTAATGTGAGACATTTGACTTTCAGTAAAAATATACAAGGTTATTTTATATGTTCCAGGATCAGCTTTGATGTGTGGAGGATGATGGACAGGTTAATGTGTCCAGCAAACCTTAAAGCTAGCCTGTGCCATTTAGTGCTGCAGATAGCTGTACAAATCTTTCAAAAGTATTATTATTTAGAAACTTTTCAGAGTGTATTATTTTAATCACAACATCTTTAAATATGAAGCTTTTTAGAAAGTATTTGGGACAATTAACTACACTATTACGAAGACTAGTAACTCCTGGCATCTGAATTTGGCTTCTACGTGGTCAGAAATGTATGATTTTTCACCAAGATCATCTAAATAGGTCAAGTTAAAATGTAGTTAAGGACAAAAAATGACATTTACAAGCCATAATTGATGGCCAACTGGAAAATTGCAGATATCTTGAATTTCTGAGTGTGCCAATGTGAGTACTTGTATCCACTTTTGAAACATTTCCCTGGTTATTTAATTATCTTCAGCACACATTTAAATAAACAAGATGTAACTATTCCCCTTACAAATCAAAAGTGAAATCACTTGCCAGAAAAACGGCCCTTGTTCAGTACACTAATGATTTTTGTTTTGATGCTACAGTCTCACTCGGTCTGGTGTGACCATTAGCTAATGGTGGCCTATGCTAGCAGACCCTTCCCATTCTACTGTCATGAGGCCAAGTTAGCATGTTGATTTGAAAGAAACAGAGACAAAGTTTGGAACAACATTGAAGTGAGAAAGTGTCAAACAAGTGCTAGAATGTATGTTCTTAAAAGCCAAATCCAGGTCCACCCTCTTTCAAATGGCAATCATGAGGACTTCAAATGTGTTGTTTTGTTTGACTAAAATCCAAATGAGAAGGAACTCCGTTATTGAATCCATTATATAAATAGTTTCTATTAATTTTTTCTGTCTATTGACTAATCAATAAATCATCTAATCATCATATTGACCGTGCCTGTAATCAACATCTTGTTTAGTCACTCTGTTCCCTACATCAGTGGCTCTGAACCTGTATGGCTTGTGTTCTCTTAATTCAAAATGATACAAACAATAACTGGAATATTACATATATTCATATGAGCATCCTCTCATGGTTAAAGCTTTGGTGAAGACATGACTTGTGAGCAGATCCACTAAAGATCAGCTTTGTCCTTTTTGGTTAAATTGTAATATGTGAAGGGAGAAGACTTTAAAATGTCCAGTGTTTTACAAGAAAATAATTAAAAGTTAGAGAGAAGTCAATATGATTGAGAGATATTACTGACAGACGTTTGCTCACATCCTGCAGAGGATTCAGCTCTCATGTCTCTCAGAGTTCTGAACTCAGGACTTCACATTCTGACGCATATTGATATTTGAATCTCTTCCCAAACTACTGAAAACTTAAGGCTGTTTTCCAAATCATATTTTGAGGGTATTTGATGTCTTTATTAGATAGTGGACAGTGTAAAGGGGACAGGAAATGAAGGAACAAAGGATTCCCACCAACAGCTCTTCACACACGGACCCCCAAAGGCTGTTTTATCAACCCATATTAAATATATCTATATTAAATGTCCTGTGCTGTGAGAACCACAAACAAAACATATATATTCACCTCCATTGTTTGGAAGCAGGCATCTTAAATCTTAAACCTGGACACATAAAAACAGAAGTATTTGCACAGCTGAGGTGCCCGGGGCCTCCGGGGGCCCTGAAAGCACCAGCTTCATTTTTCATGTTGGTCTGATTTATCTAAGCGCCAAGCTGTTAGAGAGGGCAGCACTAAATCCCAGTTCTACCAGAAATGATTGGACCAATGATCATGACATAATCCTGTGACCCGGTCCATGAAATATTCACTACAAATTGTTCTTGTAATTACCAAAAATGAATTTCCCATACTGCAAACTTCCAGCAGGGGAGTACTGGGAATGTCTGATTTATTAGAGTTAAATGATGATAAAGCTGCCAGGTGCTGTCTGCGGTATAAAGGTAGATACATTGAAAGTAGCTCCCTTTCTCCCCAGGTGTTGAATGGAACAATACAAACTTGCTTGGGGGAACTGGCCCTTTATTTGGAGTTGTCTTCGCTACATGCATGCTCATAAAACACAATATTCATTAGATTAGCACAGAGTTATAAAAAAGGGATGAAAAACTCAGGAAACTGCTGCCACAAGGGGAATATCCCCCCATTGCCTAATTTTAGACTTTAATATGCCTGAACATCTGCTGGTAACCATCAGAATGAATGGTAGCCCCCCCCCAACCCACCTCCCCAACACTGACATCCTGCGTTCCTTAGATTAATGATCATTATGTAGCCTACAACTGTAACTTTCTTAATTAAACACATTATGAATTTTCATCCACAGGGAGAAATGAAAGTCTATATACACAGCGACTCAAATAATTAGCCTGATCAAATATTCAGTACTTAAATAAGCCCAGACCTGTTGTTTTTATGGCACACTGTGAATGCATATGGGTTATGTGCTTTGTTTTCGCGTCTGTGCTTTGGCGATAACTCCGTTTTAAAGAGTGAGTGTTATTAAATGAAGCCGTTGGGGTTTTAGTGGGCTCTCAGGAAAGCAGAACTGTGAAACTATCAATATGGTTTTCTACATGTTGTCCATGAACAGCCTGTTCATACATTTTCAGTTGGACTTATTATGGGGTAGATGAAACTCAGTGTTCCTGTTTGTGGCACTGTGAGGTCAGGGGGAGAACACTGGCTGAGTCACTCTGAAAAAAATGAAACGTGACTTTAATTAAATGTATTATGTCAACAGATTTCACATGTAGGTAAGTTGAAAGCAATACTATTAAGTTTAAATACTGTAGGTTCAACTTAATATTATTGCTTTCATCTAACCAGATACAGTTATGTGAAATCTGTTGACATAATATATTTAATTAAAGTCATGTTTCAGTTTTTTCAGTGTGCTTCATGTCCCATTTGTAACCGGAAGTGCTACTGAGGGTTGCAAGGGCCAAAAGGAGTTATGATGCGGGGCTTGGCTATGACGCATTCGTTGGTCTCATCTGATAATCAGTGACGTGGAATAATTCACTGATGCTGTCAGCTCAAAATAGCAAATGGAAATCTTCCGGCGGACCCACACGCAGGACATCTCAGTGATCGTCCAGCCTGAACACATGAGCCTCACTTCTTCAGCCTCAATCTGCCAACTCTTGAAGCACTGGAAACTCTCAGCTACATCCAGAGGTCCCAAGTAGTGAAGTACAAATACTTCGTTACTGTACTGAAGTGGATTTTCCTTGTGTCAGTACTTTACTCCACTATTTATTTTTTACTATTTATCAACTTTTTACTTTTACTCCTCACATTTTTTTTCACAAATACCTGTCCTTTATACATTTTCAAAACATCATTATTATCATCGCATGCCTATTTCACCATAATGTCATACAGAAAAAACTATGGATGTTTATATGACAATAACAGTATTACAATTTGAAATAGAAGCTTTTTAATGTTCTATTAATATAAAGTGAGGTCCAGTTAGCAGCTTGACTCTTGGTTTGGCTACTTTTTGCTTAAGTACATTTCAAAGCCAATACTTCTTTAATTTTACTCAAGAAGTTTAGTCAGTACTTCAACTTTTACCAGAGTATTTTTAAACATGAGTATCTGTACTTCTACTTGGGTGAAGGATATGTGTACTTTTGCCGTCTTTGGCTACATCCCTCTTCTGGAGAGTCCTTTTTTCCCCTCTTCTGTGTCTTGCGATCCGCGCAGAATGGTTTCTGCCTGTGGCCCCCCTTGTGGCCCCCTGTGCCCCGCTGGCCCCCCCTCTCAGCAGGTGTCTCCTTTTCTCTCCCATGAGGCAACATGCCAGGAGCTCAGGCTCTGCTGGATCTGGCACGTGATGTGTGGCATATGGTGTGAGTAAGAGTAGGGAGGACACTCTGCCGACAGCTGGAAGCGGACATGAGCTGATATCCTTCATCCCAGGTAGCAGCTTTGCCACCGGTTGCGTAAGGCTGGCCCCATCACGCTGCTCAGATTAACAGTATTACAGCGGTCAATTTGCCTTTAATACACCAGGGGCAGAAGGCTGTGTGAATTTGTTTTGCTATTGATGAGAAGGGTACTAGTACACTCTTCCATCTAAATGTAAATCCCAAACTGGGCACTTCAATAATCCTCTCAATCAGATATGAACAGCTATGAGAATATTGTGTTCTGTTTAATGACGTTTTTTTTTTTTAAGAAATGATTAGAGTAATTAGTTATGGCTTAGCAGAATATTCCATCTTGTTATGTGTGTGTGAAATCATTTCATACTCAAATCCAATAACATGTTTGCATCTCATTTCTGTTCTTCCTCAGAGTGTCAGTTCAGACACAAGAGGAGAAGAGAAACTGGGAGAGAAACTCCCTCTGGAGGGAACACAGGGATGTTAGCCTTTGCAGACCATTTACATTCAGAAAAACGTATATCAAACACTACAGGAAAGGGAAACCCCAAAGAGCATAATAGGGCTTCTTTAAGATTTTAAAAACATTGTTTATATATCATTATACAAATGTCCGGCCCTGGTCAGAGTCTGCAGTGCAGAACCTGTTTAGCCTATAAACACGGTTGGTGAATAATATATCTTGATTATTGGTTTGAATAAGTATGTTTCTTATTAAGTTAGTATGTTACATAACAAAAGTAGCTTCAGACGAGTCAGAATGAAACATGAACAGCAGTCTGAGGATGTCTCTCTTTCTACTACGTCACCCAGCTTCCTTAAGCCATCAAAGTCATCTTTGACAATAACAGTAATTATACACTCCTGTACTTTAGGTTCTTCTTATTCTTCAAGTCTTGGATCCAATTCCACACTTTCTTTGTATGTTTCAATGCTTCTGAGCCACTCTTTATGGTCAGAAACTGTAATCTGTGTGGTGTTCCTCTGCAGGTCCAGCTGTCCCTGTTGGAGTGGATGTCCAGGTGGAGAGCTTGGACAGCATATCAGAGGTGGACATGGTAAGTGGCTTGAATGTGTTGAACGCCATATGGTACACACAGTAAGATTATGGGGGAAATGGATTTCAAATAATGTAGTAGATGTAATCTGCAAAAATAATTGAAATCTGCAGACACTTATTGGAATATACATTGAGTTTGGATGTTAAACTACAGAATTACTAATTCTGTTTTAGACGTAAAGACCAACAGAAACCTCAAAGTAAGGAGATTATACAGGATGTACAAAATATGATGTAATTATTACTGCTACTATCCCAGCGGATTATGTCTCTGGTAGCGCATGTAGCAGTTAATCTGTGACAGATTCAGTAAAGTTGCTGACTTCAACAATGGAGCTCCTACTGCTCCAACACATGGAGCAGCTCCACTCAGACACGGCGGCTAATGAGCAGGAACGTTCTCCATTAGCAGCGTGAGGATGGACAAATGAGCAAAAGTGACTCAGATTGTGGGAACACCCTTCTCAATCCCGGTTTGTGACTGAAGATCAGAGCCGGAATATAGATTATTCCTATATTTAAAGTTTTCTGCGGTTATCTGTGTTCTGACACTGCATCAGAAGGCTTCTCTGCTTTGTACTGGCAGATGAACTTTGATTCATTCAGATGTTGTTTTCAGTTGGATAATCAGAATCAGATTATGAAAGCTCAATTGTAGGAATTGTTTATTTTGCTCAAACCCAGACTGAATGTTGATTAATGTAATTAAATAGACCTTCTGTCCTGCAACCATAAATTGGATCTGAACTGCTGTCCTGATGTTGTGTAAGCTCCCGTTTCCAAGGACAGTCAAGGATTACATTTAATTTGAATCCCAGTGTGTATTTAATTGTTTTGTAACAGGGGGGGGGGGTAAAAATGAATGATTCAAGATGACGGCAGCCCTTAATGACATTATGTCATATCACAAAGCTGCAGGATGCTTAACAGTTACGCAGCAAACACTCTTGGCTGTTTTATTGGGAGGGAAACGGGTTCAAAGCATAGATGTTAATAGGACTCACTAAAAAAACGAGGTATTTCATCTGGATTGGTGTAGTATTGCACATGTAATGCAATGGTTTCAAGCAGGGATTAGTTTAAGAAGTTGTTTACATTTTTGCTAGCTCAGTAGTATACCTAAAACAGCTGACTACTAGCATTTAACATAATCCATCAGGAGGAAAGGGCTGTGGCAAGGTAGGAAGGATGATAGCCTGGATACAAAGTGTTATCTACAATTTGTAAATGTCTATATCTACCTAAAACAGTTTGAATGACAACCATTTTGTATCATATAGTGGAGGATTAGCTAAACTAACTAAACACTAAAAATGAATTCTAGCTATCTGACAGGAGATTTGCAAATATAACATCAGAAACTCATTTGTGTACACTTTTTAAGAGACAACTACTAAAGTGTAAGGGTCCTTTCCTATCTTTGTCTTATCCCTAATGAACCATAAAGCCCTAACAAACAGAAAGAGATCATGTTTCATAACAGTGTCAAAGCAAACCTCCCTAATAAAAGAGTCACACTGTGGGCTGATGGGTTGAAAGTGATGTTGATGCAGATGCTTGTTTTACTGTCATTTAGTATTTCATTTTTAGTGAGTGAGTTACTCAGATGAGTACCAGGAGACAGCGGTTGGTACTCTGGTACAGTTGTGGTGAAGGCATCTGACGTACTTGAACCGGAATGTCTACATGCATAGCAGAAGATGGCATCTTTTTTACATGAATATTCCAGCCAATCTCTGTTTTGAAACCATGAGCTGCAAAATGAGCGCCTTACCCCACTTTACAAGCGAGTTGGGTACTTTTTTAAATATACCTGGGCAGGCTCTGTTTTGCCTCTGGCACTTGCGGGCCGCTGAGGGGTGGCAGTGTTTGGGGCAACAAAGATGGCTGCGGCTGCTCCACCTCCGTGGGCGAGGCGGGCAAAGCCAGCGAGTCGGGCGGGAGGACTATCCACGACAGTGGCCGTGGGTAACGTAATGTCCCCATGATCTGAACTGTTATTACCTGCAGTAGATGCAGTGTTACTGCTGGCGATGTTTGCAATCATTGACTATATTCTTCTTATTATTGTTATTATTATTACAATTATTGTTATTATATATGTAATTATGCACCCCCGTAGAACCGGGCCTGTGTTGATGCCTCTCCATGCAGAGAACCAGGGTTCGAATCTAGCCTGGGACAGTTTGCCATGTGTTGTCCTATCTTTCTCCCCCTTTCAAAACTGTCAATGAAATAAAGGCACAGGTTGCTACGGTGGCCGACAGGTGCATGCAAATAAAGAAACATCTTCACCAACACATGCGCAGCATTTAGTAAACAATCACAAACTTCACGAAACATGTTCAGCAATTCCTAAAGATGTTGCATAAATGAAACTGCAAACACAGCTAAAAACTCAACGGAAACGGGGACACTAATAAGTGACGCACACAGCTGGTACCGGTGCGCTTAGTGACGTTCAGGGATTATAAAATTGGCCAACTTGGTGAAGATGTTTCTTCATTTGTATGTGATTTTGCACATTTGTGTTTTCATATTTGCATCGTTTTGAAATTGCAGCACATTTCTCCTCATGGAAGTGTACCTTTTGTACAAACAAAAGTTTGTGGTAAAGAGTTTGCACCTGTCGACCACTGTAGGTTTTTTCTAATGAATTTCAGAACGAATCACAGATGGGTTTGAGTAATATAAGTGTTAGTATTAACAGTTCATTACTGATAACCCTTATTCCATTACTGATGCATATGTTATTTTGTTGATTCAGTTATTTATACATGCGCTAAGGCTGCATACGCAGAGCCTATAGAAATGTTTGTGGAGACTATTTTCAGCTACAGAAGCAGTGTGTGTGAGATTGAGTGAAAATAAACTCAGTGTGTGTTCATGGTAATAAAGGAACATGTCAGAGTGCAGCAGTCAGGCTCATTGATGTGTTTCTGAATGAAGCTTCACAGCACAGAGTAGGAAGATATTTCCGGCTTTGATATACAGGACATTGTTGGTTTGAGTTTGTGCATTGTATTTGATGACAAGAAGGGAAAATACCACTAGTCTGTACTGTGGGTTTTGCTGGTGTATATAACTCTGTGTTTTGTGGTAATGATACAGTAAGATCATAGATACTCAAATAATGCAGGAAGTCCACAGAAGAGTCATGAAGTTAGTGAAATGTCTACATTTATATCTAAATCAAATCGTTAATAATTGTCATTTCTTAACTTCAAATGTTGTCGCAAATAGAAGAAAACAATTATAATTGCTGAAATGTATTGTAACAGTGCAAAAGTAAAGAAGAGTCAAAAACACAGCTACACAGCTATTTCTACACACATTTGTAAAGGCTAGCAAACATAGCGGTGATACCCTGCAGGTTACAGCAGAACAAGAGTGTAGCAGTGAGAGTGTAGCCTGCGGTGACTCCATCAGCTAATAAATTCAACTTTTCATTTCTTAGAAACAGAATTATTTATTCTTTCAAAGCTTCAATAGTCTTGCATTATGAAATTCAGCTTTCAGCTACATTATAATTAAATTGTGGTTTTATAGAGCTAATCTGCTGGCAGTTATATATATGGGGTGAAGAACACTTCAATCCCAACACTTTAAAACAGCTCAAAGCTCAATCTGGCACTGTTACGCTCGACACATTTGAATGTTTTAAGTGTTCATTATTGTGCATTATCCCTGCCAAATAATCGATAAATAAATAAATGAGTGAAGGTATAGCACATTACAGTGATTATTCATTCAGAGCTTCAGACATGCCCCTGAACTCATTTTACGCAACATCAAGGTGCCGTATGGTGGGTGCCAAGAGTACAATGTGCGGCTGCAGCCATTATTCCAAACGGATCTGCTCTTATGTAATGCCATGAGGAGAGTGGCATGGGGGATGATCTCTGTAGTTGAGTGTGGGTGGGTGGGGNGGGTGCAGAGACAGGGTCACTCCGGCTTGCATAGCAACAGGGGAAGGAGGCGAGAACACAAGGGTAATCTAGGACCAATGGAAGCTTAGGTAACATATGTTCGGCACTTCTCTTACCCGTGTATGTTTAGTCATAAGCATTCTATATAATCCAGCAGCCAGTGTAATCCCAGAGTAATTTCAAAAACCAGAGGTGGCAAGCAAGTGAGTCCTTGTAGTGCAACTTAATCCAGAGGCTGTTTGTGCTTGTCGCCCCTCCCCCGCTGCCTCAGGACTTCACCATGACCCTATATCTGAGGCACTACTGGAAGGACGAGAGGCTTGCCTTCCCCAGCACCACCAACAAGAGCATGACCTTTGACGGGCGCCTGGTGAAGAAAATCTGGGTGCCCGATGTGTTCTTCGTCCACTCCAAGAGGTCCTTCATCCACGACACCACCACTGAAAACATCATGCTGCGGGTGTTCCCTGACGGTCACGTCCTGTACAGCCTGAGGTGAGGACACCAGCAGGAAGCCCCCCCACACACGCTCATATCTGCCATCACAGGGCTGTTTCACACTGACTAAATGCCACTTGGCAGCCTTGTTGGAGCCGGCCCAGAGCCGGTGGTGATGCTAACACTCTGCTGTTTCCCCAGGGTCACAGTGACTGCTGCGTGCAACATGGATTTCAGTCGCTTCCCTTTGGACTCGCAGACATGCACGCTGGAGCTGGAGAGCTGTAAGCATTCACACACACTCCACTCTACTGCTGTGGGAAATAAAGGGCCAGTAATTATAAAGGGCCCAAAGAATATGTGCAGCATGTTGCCTCAATCAGCACCACATTGAGTCAAATCACTGAATTGTTATTCATTCCTGTTGTTGTCAGTAGGAGGTAGGTGCCGGTCACGGATGTAATTAACATCATCCCCAGCAGCATGTTGATTTCAGACTATCACTAAACAACTATTGTGGCCAAAAGCAACAAATTCTGTTAGTAAAATCATTTGTAATTTGTTGTTTGTGCTGGGTTTTTTAAGTTAAAGAGGCCTATAATGCTCTTTGGAGTTTCCCGTTCCTGTAGTGCAGGGGTGCCCAATACGTCGATCGCAATCGACCGGTTGATCGCGAAGATAGTGTGGGTAGACCGCATGGCATTGAAAAAAAAGTTTAAAAAAAAAAAAAAATGTTAGCCTATCATCCATCCTTACTGTGGCATTTGCCACTTGATTGCCGTACTTTCAGTATTTTTTAAATGATTCCCAGCATGGCAGCCTTGTGCTGTGATGTGCCATGTCTCCTCAGGGACCGCTGCGGTTGCATAGAGGGTCTTGTACAGGTAAGCCAGTCTGAGATCTCATATTTTCTAACACGCAGTTCACCACGCATGCGCGGTCAACCGCGCCAGCTGCAAATCACTGGCGAGCTGATTACCTAGTTAGCCTTCCAATTTATACAATTCTACTAAAGAAAAAGGGTATAAGGGGCGCCTCACCTCCTCATCTGAAGCGCAAATGCGGCACAATAAGTGTAAGCGCGCCACAGTTTCTCCGCTACTTCGAGGTTCCGGTGCTCGCAGTCCACTAGCACCCACCCCC